GCCGTGGAGGCGGCGGTCGTGGAGGCGGCCGTGGAAGGAGCACGGTTGCAATTCATTCCATATAGCTGATCACTTTCATAATATCATGCAGGAGTGGCGCCGCATTGAAGCGGCCAGCAGCTGCAAAGCGGAAGGTCGACGAGGTGGACGAGGTTGGGCCGGAGACGGAAGTGGTCGAGGCCTCCGCCGGGATGGCGCAAAGCAAGGAGGAGGATATCGATGCTGAAGCCAAGCCCGAGAAGAAAGCAAAGAAAGGCGAGCAGGAAGCAGACGGGAATGATGATAAAGGCAAGAACGACAAGAAAAACAAGAAAGACCGGACAGCCGAGGAGAAGGAGGTGCTGGACAGCATCCCGGAGCTTGAGAACTACAGAGTTCTTCAGCTGGCAATAGACCCGCACATTATCACAAATCGTGCTGGCAGTATGTTGTTGCTGTTACAAGCTCATCCAGCATTGAGGTGATGCCGTACTGGAGCCGACCTTTCGAGTGTGGTGTCGTGCGCAAAGCGACATCAGCGAGGCCTAAGAAGCAGGCAGGATGTCCGTGCAGGTCAGTTTGTGATGTGTGCGGTAGTGTTGCGGCATTGTGTAGCAGCTAAGTAGCAGGTGCTGTTCATCTCCGGCAAGCACACGGGGCTGCCTATCACGTGGAAGGAGCTTGTTGACCCTTGCATCAAAGCCGTGGCTTGCCGGTAAATAGATAGCATATACTTTTCGTGGCAGTGGCAACAGTGTCGAGCTGCCAAACATCCGGTTGCCTTTTTGAGGCTGAGTCTTTGGAAGAGGGCAAGGAAATGGCGGTGGTGGAAGATGCCTTCGAGCAGGACAAAATGGCTTTGGCAAAATTGACGGCCCAGCGCCGGGCCGAAAAGGCCGTGAAGTAGAGCTGCTGTGGAATGGATGTGATCGTCCTGACTGGAAAGGGTCCAGTTTACAGGATGAGGTTTTGATGGCCTCCCCGACATAGTGATCCTGCCCGAACACATAAACCATGCTGTTCATTTTGGGCCTCGGCTTTGCCGTTCAGTAGTGGACACGACTGCCGCAGATGCTGCTTTCGACGGGTCCAAATGTGTAGTTGCCAGCCCTGCAGATTTCGAGTGTCATTCGAAAGGTTCTGCAGTAGTAGTAGTGATGACACAGGCATGATACATGTTGTGCTGTTGGCTCGTGCATGTGGCTGCTTCATGCAATTGTTCAGCAGGCAGCACCTTGACTAGAAAACTGAGGCCTGTTCCAGTCTATCCCGACCCTGTATGGTTATAGGTTATAGGTCGTTACAATCCGAAGGGTTATAGGTAGTACATCCCTAAACCTTAAACCCCTGAAGCCAGGCTTTGTCCGAGTGTGAGTGTCAAAAAGCCCCTGAAGCTTATAATTAAACTGTACATAATGAAGAGATGATCATCCGAGGCCAACGATATGTGATGTGGCGCTTTTTCTCGTGGCTGGCATCGCTGGAATCTCCGATGACTCCGGCCATATATGGACTCGATTTTATCGTCCACCGGCACAGCCCGGAATATGTGTCATGGTATTATACTCTAGAGGGAGACGTGGTCTTGCACAGCAGATAGAGCTGACAGAACAACCCAGGAACGGTTATTGGATGTGGAGTCGATCAAGATCCTGACCTATACTACAGTCTGATGCCGCCACGGGATATCTCGATGCTGTTTGCCGGCCTGAAGTGTTTTGCAGCAGTAGTAGTTACTAGTAGTAGAAGTAGTAGTAGTAGTAGTAGTAGTAGTAGTAGTCGTAGTCGTAGTCGTAGTCGTAGTCGTAGTAGTAGTAGTAGTATAGTAGTAGTAGTAGTAGTAGTAGTAGTAGTAGTAGTAGTAGTAGTAGTAGTAGTAGTAGTAGTAGTAGTAGTAGTAGTAGTGGTAGTAGTAGGAGTAGTAGTAGTAGTACTACGGTTGATGATATAAATCCTGCATTACCTTATAAGGACCCTAAACTATGGGAATTTTAGTACATTCCTTATTATGGGTCATGCAGGATTTATACCATCAGCCGTAGTACTATACTACTACGTACTACTAGTGCTACTACGTAATGCTGCTGCTACCTACTACTACTTCTACTAGTACTGCTGCTAGCTACTAGTCTCCTACTCCTACTCCCACTCCTAGTCCCACTCACATTCCCACACTAGGAGGACTACTACTTTACTACTACTTGCCTTGAGGTTGACAAGACTTTGCTCCCTCTGGTCTTCGGCCTGGACAGGCTCCTTCGACACATTGCTGGGTTTTCAGGAATTGGGAACTGACCTTAGGACGAAGTCACCTTGTCGAAGTCGCCATTGCAGTTTGGATCCTAGTGGAGCATTCGCTCCTTTCAACACAATTTATCAATTGCTATGCAGACGATTGGGTGAAGTCTTGAGGCTCAGGGTTGAGAGAGTTCGGATCGTTTGCCATGGCGAGTAACGGTAGTACTAGTGTCAAGATATCAGGTCCAAGCAGGGACTGGGGATGTCGGGTTGCTTGCCACGATTTAACTTAATTCATCATGCTAAGAATATATAGATCAGAAGCTGCCCCCACCCTGTAATAGTGGAATATAATAGGGCCCTAATATAATCCTTTATGATCTTATAGTCACTATTACAGGGTGGGGGGCGGCTTCTAATATATAGACATAGGCTCAACAAGGAGGGATTCGGGCTTAAGGCTGTCGGGGGCTTAAATTCACGGATTTGGGCATAGTCGGGGTATGGAGTTGTGTCGTAGGGTTGAGGTTTGGGGATGTTCATCCCCACGATCGGCGCTTTGGGCTTCCGGTTTTGGTGTGCAGTGTGCTCTATTAATGCTTCGGAGCTCTAGCTAATCCTCAAAGCCTATAATCATCTATAACCCTAAACCCTATAATAATCGATAACCCTAAACCCTAAACCCGGAACCAAACCCTCAACCCTAAACCTTAAACTCCGCACTAAAAGCCGGAAGCCCTCGAGCGGCTCACGCCGTAGTCCGGACAGCCTGAGACGGACAGCCGGAGGTTTGGAAACCGACATATCCGATCGCAGAATCCCAGTTCAAGCCTGTGCATAAACTGCCCATCCCTGAGGCATGAACCCTGATGTATACATCGACTGAAGCCAACCGAAGTATCCACCCAGGTTCTTCTCGTATGCACGACCGATGGCGGTATGGCCGGCTACGGTGTGTGATCGTGCCTACGTAGTGGATCTCGAAGCAGCAATGGGCGTCGGGTTTACGGGAATCCCACAAGGAAATAGATTATATGCTAGATCCGAAGCAATCACTAAATGAATATATATATATATATATATACATACATTTGTAAAAACTTACGAACCTAGGGCTCCAGCTACCTAAATAGCTTATCGTAGGTTACTGGGGTATATAATATATGGCTAGTAACCTACTATTTAAGTAACTGGAGCCTTAGGGAAAGGTAGGGGTCTTGGGTTTCGGGATTTCCAAACATTCGGGAGCCGGCAATCGGGCAAAGGGCAAAGAGTTTGGGACTGTGTGATCGAGCGGCTTCCCACTACATGTGCAACTTGCAATGCCAGTGCTTTTAATCCGACTGCTGCTTCAACATCGATCCCTGAAAGAGCTTTTGGGCTTACATCTTTTCGGAGCCCTGGCTGGTCGCTCTTTGCAGCTTGACTTATGACAAACGAAACATGTGCATACCATGATGCTACATCACGCAGGAGTGAACCCCGACCAAGTACTATATGTAATCCCACGTACATCCCAGGCGACTTTGTGCCCGGCCCGCCTTCATCGAGTTCTGAGCCTGGGCATTACACTGATCATTCCACTTTTATAATTCATGTAAATATACATATTAGCATAGATCTCCAAACTCGGGGTCCGAGGCGAAGCCTTCCAGCCCTAATCCATCAATTGAACCTCAGAAAAATACTTGCAAGGTTCTGTGATATAGGCTAAGTGCTAAACCCCAAATCGGGAAGGGTTGGGTCGTAAACTCAATCTAGCGATCTGTTCATGTTCAACTAGGCACCAAAGGGTTGGGTGTAGAACCCCAAGTGTGCAGGGGTATGATTTGTCCCGATAACTATATAAAGGATTCACTTAACCCTGAGCCCTAACACTAGCGAGTGGAAGAGGCTTAGGGCTTAGGGCGGTTTAGGTTGCTAAACCCCAAAACTATAACCTGTTGGGGCTCAACGGTGCTTGGGGCCTACATGATAAGCCGAAAGTCCAAATCCCTAAAATCGGAACAAGCTCCGGGTACGAAATCCCACACCTTACAAACGTTCTTTCCAAAGCCCGAGTTTCAATCCGCTGACTAGATGTTTCACCGAATTCCCCCAGGGCTCAGGGTGCTATATCATTATCAGCAGATTTCAATGTTCCTATTTGACTCTGTATGGCGAACGTGGCAAACCTAAACGGGGTGGTCGTGTGTGGGGGGTGCCCGAATGGTTGATCGTACGTCCAGCTGCAGTCACCGCAGTGCCTCGAGAGCCGTCTCGAAGTAAAGCTTGCTTTGTCGGGCGCCTTGTGCAACACGTCTGCCCTTTCTGATGTGGTTGCTCAGATGTGCGACTGGAATGATCAGTTCAGCACGAAGCTGAAAGCCTTGATGCAGTCTTTGTGCAAGACATGCTAGCAAGGGGGTGTCCTGGCCCAGCCTCGGTGTGCAATGAATGTGGGTCAAACCCAGTGCAGTATGTCGATTCCTTCAAAGGTTCAGAGATTGTAACCCGCTAGAATGAAAGCTTTCTGGTCTGCAAACCCAGAATCATATATCATATTTTGGTCACCGATCATCCCGAAGTCACGAACGTTCCAGTACTGTACTAGGGAAATTACTAACCTGCTGCTGCTACTACACTACAGCAACAACACCTACTAGTACTACTAGCTACTACTATCACTACTCCTACCACTACCACTACGACTACTACTCCTATTGCCGTAGGAGTAGACTACTTCCACTCCTGCTCCTGTTGCTGCTAAGTATTAATACTCTACGAATATCCCGAACTTACAGATGCCTGAACCGGCAAGCCCAGATTGGGTTCGTAGGCCGAGTTCCAAAAAAGCCCTTAATATCCCAAGCCGGTTAGACAGAGCCCTGCCGATCCTATCAGGCCTACACCTCCGAAAAAAAATAGCTTCCCTAAACCCTTAAAACCGAAAACCGCTAAATAACCTAGGCCTCGCCCTCGGCGCTTTGGCAGCCACACGGACCGGCGGTTCGGCAGCCACACGGACCTGCAGTTCAGGACTAGGGGTGTGGTAATTAAGGTCAAGATTAGCTAGGGTGTACTGTAGGGTTTAAGTGTTTGTGGTGTAGAGATTCCATCGGGCAAGATTAGGGTAGCACCAGGCCAGGTAGTCTGAAACCACAAGCTTGGGGTCGGTGTTTGATGGTACTCATGTGTTGCTAACAGCACATACTTGAAAGCCCTGGAACTACAACTGGAAACTCGAAGCCTCTGAGGAAGTATGCCGAATCTGTAGGGCTTAGGGTTGGGGCTTGCATATATGAAGGGCTTTGACTCTAGTCTTATATAAAATCCGAAAAGTTGGGTCTTGGACAAGCACTGTGCAATCGGAGATTTAGGGTTCATCGTTAAGTGTAGCACCGGGTGAAGATTTAATTAAGGCTGGGTGTCAAAATTGGCCATGGGGTGTCCGAATATATTGGATCCTAGTACTCGTATCGCTACCCGAGTCCTGGCTTTCAGCTGGTTGCCGGGCAGTACATGAACAGGCCTCAAGAACGAAATAAGGAACCCGAAGCCAAGAATGTATATGCATGATATAGAATTTTGCAATAATATATATATATATATATACATATATATATATATATATATATACATCTAAAAAGCCGTAAACTAAAGCCCAAACTTTGCACAGAACACACCCTAAACACTAGAAGCCAGAAACCTTCTATTTGGATCGGGGACCCCTAACATCGGTTTTGCGGTCGTGAGAGTACAGGATGCCCGGGCGAGGCGACAGGAGTAGATCTAGAGTATTGCACAACGAGTGACCAAGACCTAGACTATTTGGGTGGGGCGGGTGGGTGTGATGGTTGGTGATGCTGATGTCCCAGAGGCTTTGGTTGCCGGGTATGTGGTGGTGCCCCGATATTGTCAAAACCAGCTCCGTGATGGAGGATAGCTGATGTGTCTCCACAGAGCATCTCGACGAGTGTGGTGGGCCCAGATGAACTGGTCCTCCCACGAGTCTGAGAACCTTCGTGGTGTCCGGAGTCGATGGCTCCGGTGGGCTCAAAGCTTTGGCGGAGTTGAACGCCCGGTACATCTCGGAGGCCTTGAGCTCCCTGATCGTCTCGACACGTTTGTGCCGCTGGTTCTGAAATTTGTCCGGCTCCAAAACCGGCCAGCGACGACTGTGACGACCTTGCCCATGATGCTTAGATGCTCTGGATGCTCGATGTCGGTGTGCACGGGACCCTTATCCCCTTTAACCCCTTGGCATTCAATCCAGCGATCATGATCAGTAATGTACTTACTAGATCGGTGCTGAAACGCAATATACCGCCGTTCGACAGGAATCACCGCCAAACCTATAGGACCCTTAATTTCATCGCCCGAACCCTCTGCCCTAAACCCGAGGTCCTGAAGTCCGATAGAGTGAGCCTTCCTTATCGAGGGAAGCAGGCAGCCAGTATCAGCCATGTGATATATACATATATATATATATATATACACACACATATATATATATGTGTGTGTCTGTGATGGATGAGAAGGAAGGTTGGATGGATGGGTGGATGGTTGGATGGATGGATGGATGGACGGACGGACGGATGCTGCTATGGTATGTACGCATCGTGATTGATATATATATATATATATATATATATATATATGAGATGAGATCGTGATATGATATGGCCATGATATGACACGGTATGATCACATATTATGAAATATATGTTGAGATATGATGTGGTACGGTATGTTGCAACTATATCTATATCTATATATAATATCTATATCTATCTATATATATATATATCTACATCTACATCTACATCTATATCTATATCTATATATATATATATAGCTATCTATATCCATATATATATATATATATATATATATTATATTTGCATACATATGTATGCATGTATGTATGTGTGTATGCATGTATGTATGCATGTATGTGTGTGTATGTATGTATATGTCTTATATGTATTATGTAGAAGTCGTATCCCATCTACAAAAACCCACGATCCCTACGCCTAAACCCGAAGCCCTCAAGCCCGACAAGCTTTATAAGTCAGAAACCCGAAGCATGTTATAAGAAATATCACCTTGTGCCTCTGAGGACTGCGGTGTGGACATCTCGCCTGCAGAGAGTGCAGGCAAAGCGGATACAGGACAACGCCTGCTTCGGGATTTTCAGGCTTTCCTCTAAATTTTCAGACAATTTGTAGCCGGGCGCAATGGAAGAGGCGACCCGTGAGGGCTGCGGCAGGCGCCAGGGGCAGGGTGGGTGGGGGAGGAGGCCTCGGAACCGTAACGGGAGGCCTCGGAACCGTCACCGGAGGCCTCGGAACCGTAACCGGAGGCCTCGGAACCGTAACACAGGGCCTGGAACCGTAACGCCCCAAATCCCCTTAAGTGGCCCTACGAAAATCTCCGGTTCACGCAGGATATGAAACGTGGCAATGGATCCAACTGCACGGCTGCGGGGGCCGACGTGAGCAAGTTCATTGCCCAGGCTAAGGCGAGGGCAGCTTTAGCCAAGGGTGTTACGCCCACCCCGAAAGTAGCACCTGCCCCGGCTTCTGTGTCTGCGAAGTCGACTCTCGGTATGGCATTTAATAGGTATTTCGCAGCAAACCATCGGAGCTACAAGCCTCAATCTGCAATTTTTGCATGCCAGCCCAGGACCGCGATCAAAAGCCCGGACATGAAGAAGCCTCGCACCGGAGCAGAAGCTGCTGCGCCTACGAAAAGGTTGTCAACAAAGGGCCCGCCGCCTGTGCCAGCAGCGAAGGCGAAGCAGCCGCCATCCTCCAAGACCCCAGAGTCGTGTCTTTCTGCAAATTTATTATGGGTTTTGGGGTGTGACTTCCAGTTGCCTCTAGCACTCAATGCAACTCCGATCCATGTACTAGTATACCCTACACCCTCAATCCCTTAACCCCTGTCGACACTATGACTTCCTAGGCCCAAGTGGCCGGCCTCTAAAAGCCGAACCCTTTGATATATAATAATATTATATATATATATATATATATAGACACCGAACCGTATAATATACTATATATATATATATATATATATATATACATATCCTTAAGAGCCATGTAATAAACCTTATAATGTCCGGCAGGCTCTAAACCCTACACCCTAAAATCGCAACCCTACACTTGGGAAAGATTCGGATTGTCGATGAGGCCGAAGTCTTCGACTACGGCTACTACTAGTACTGCTGAGACCTCTACGCCAGCACCGATTCGCCGGAGCAGCCAAGCTACAATTATTCATATCGCCCTACAACCTAACAACCCAATACCCGAAACTTTACAACATGCAGCTCTACTGGATGGTAGACATGGCAAGCTGTCGTGGATGCAGTAATGCAGGCATGCACACCTAGAAATGATCGGTCACATGCATACATGTTCGTGTATATATATATATATATCATGTTAATTAATTATAAATAAATAAATTATGTGTAACGGTTGCTAGATCTTCATTACAGAGTAGATACAAACACGTAGACAGAACGATGGATATGCAGGGCAACAAGCTATAACTACATATGTATATATGTAGAAATATAGGTAGCGATAAGTAATAGATCTAGAGAGTAGATACACACATAGACAGCTGTAGATGTCAATAGATCTACATGGCTGGGTCAGTAGCCAGCCAGGTAGGTAAGTAGGCAGTAGGTACGGGTATGTTCAATTAATCTTTCCCTAGGGCTCCAGTTACCCAAATAGTAAGTTACTGGGGTACATAATCTATGGCTAGTAACCTACTATTTAGGTAACTGGAGCTCTAGGTTTGCTAACGGTAAGATCGAGGTTGGACCGCTGCGGAGACCGGCAGCCAGGTGCCCTCGGCATCTCCCATGTCGACGACAATGACGCCATTGGGGCCGAAGGTGCTGGCGAAAGAGTTCGCGACACCCGGAAGCATGTCTGTGGATACCCCGACTGAGAAGAAGTGCGATGAGTGGTGGGGCGACGAGTCCTGGCACTCAGCCTGGGATGCACACGGCTGGGATTCATGGTACCGCCGCACCCCATCGTCCTGGGACGGTTGGGGTTGGGGTAGCGGCTCTTGGAGTGCAGGTGACTGGCAGGCCTCATCTGTGCAATGGGGCCGCCGGGGCGCTGTGGAGGAGATTAAGGCAGAAGAAGAGAGCCAGCCAGATCTGGAAACACTGCTCGAGAGAGCCTACGAATCTTATGGCGAGAGCGACAGTGGATCGGAGAAGGAAAAAGGCTCTAGATCTTTGAGGAGCCTGGATTCCGCCACCACCTTGGCACTGGGCAGTCTCAGCAGAGAGAGCTTGGAGGAACCGCCCATTGAGAAGGGCATCGAGACTGAAGAGTACATCGCGAAGACGGTTCAGGAAGACACGCCGAGCCAGCGGCCAGAAGACGAGCCGAGCACTGGGGTTCCAGAAGACAAGCCGAGCACTGGGGTTCCAGAAGACAAGCCAAGCACGGGGGTTCCAGAAGACAAGCCCAGCACGGGGGTTCCAGAACACAAGCCGAGCACGGGGGCTCCAGAACACAAGCCGAGCACGGTTCCAGAAGACAAGCCAAGCACGGGGGTTCCAGAAGACAAGCCAAGCACGGGTGTTCCGGAAGACAAGCCAAGCACGGGTGTTCCGGAAGACAAGCCAAGCACGGTTCCGGAAGACAAGCCAAGCACGGTTCCACAAGACAAGCCAAGCACGGTTCCAGAAGACAAGCCAAGCACGGTTTCAGAAGACAAGCCAGGCACGGAGGTTCCAGAAGACAAGCCGAGCACGAAGCTTCCGGAACAGAAGCCGAGCACGAGTGTTCCACAAGACAAGCAGCAGAGTGGTGCAGACACGGCAGCTGGTGGCCAAGCACCCCCGCCAGTGCAGGAGGCGAACCAGCTGGTGCCGAACACCGACGACTCGTGGAGGAGGGACAAGTACGGTGTTATCCTATCCCCGCCTGCATTGTACGCCAGATTCTATCGGTCGGGTCGGAGCCTGTTTCTCAGAAAGGAATCGGGAGTCGCATGGTACGGCAAAAAAGGTGCATGATCTGTACACCTCTAAGGCCCCAAAGCGCCGCCAGAAGTTCGCCAGAAGATGGCTGATGCAGAGCGAAGAGACTTATCGGGAAATAGTGGAATATGCTTTAATGATAGACCTAGATATGATATGTAGCCGCTGTGTGTGTGTGTGTGTGTGTGGACGTGTGTGTGTGTGTGTGTGTGTGTGTGTGTGTGTGTGTACTAACACAATAATATATGCATAACACGTATGTGCACACCTAGGCTCGGATCGCAACAATCGCATGCACGAGATGTACATGCACTATCTGTCCTGCCGGGCGGAATGGTCGAAGAGCACCGTGGTGATCACGATGAGGCCAGTGCATTAGTGATCAAGCAAACTTATTAAGCTTCGCGATCGGCTAGCTAAGGTCTTGGACCCTACAGGCCTCAACCCAAAACCCTGAATGCCTAATAAACACCCCCAGCCGAAGTCTCAGAATCACGAGCTGTAAGGCTGAGGAGTGTAAAGCTTCATATGCTTAGGGGGTTCATGCTGGGGTTTCGGGCGGGGTCCGGGGTTTCAGGCTTGGGTGGCATCGGGGCTTATGAATATCGTTGCATTCAGATCTATATACTTTTAGGGCTCCAGTTACCTAAATAGTAGGTTACTAACCACATATTATATACCCCAGTAACCTACTATTTAGGCAACTGGAGCCCTAGGTATACTATCACTAACCAATACTAGATCATGAGCTTCGGTACTCGTGTTGGGACAACACATAGAATATAGGCGCTTTCCGGGAGGGGACAGAACATCTGCCTTTGAGTTTCAGGGATCGGGCAGCTAATTAGGGGTCATTAATTACTATAGTATGTATGAAAGCTAGCACCTAGAGCATCAGAACCCCAGGCCCTTGAGTCCTAAACCTTTTAATTGGTAAGGTGATAATTATGCAGTAATACTAGTATATTAGTTACAGTTGGGTCTTGGGTCGACTCATAGAACCCAGAACACCCAAGGCCAATGTGTCCTAAACTATTTGATATCATTTCTGTAGTGGCTATGCTGGAGGAAATCTACGTTTGGAAGACCCTGAAGTTTCTGAGGGCGGAACTGGGCGACAGTTTGGCCAACGACTTGTACTCCCGTCACCTCGAGATCGACCCCCGCATGACCGGCAAGCTGTTGCAGAAGCACCCGAACTTTCCGAAGGTTGAGGAGAGGGGGCTTTGTAGTAGGGATTACGGCTCTACGGTGGGGCTTCTGGATTTCGATCCATACCCTAGGGCTCCAGTTACCTATATAGTAGGTTTCTAACTTTATACTATATACCCCAGTAACCTACTATTAAGGTAACTGGAGCCCTAGGGATAGCCCTTCTAGATATCGATGTGCAGGAAATGACCTTGCTAAAGAGCTTCGACACGATCAAGGACATCTCCCAGAAAACCTTTGAGAATTCCGCCGAGTTCCAGATGGAGGCAGAGAATGTGGATGAAGAAGACATGCATGATGCAATGTGGCTTGTCGGGTACTAGTACTATATACACTCGATGAAATCAAACAATCGTGTAAGTATATTTTGCTAGCTGCTGATCGTGTGCCAAGGGAGGCCTTAATGGACCAAGAGATGCCGCAGGCGCCTACAGATGGCAATGTGCCACCGCCGAACCCCAAACCCCGCGAGCCGAAGAAGGCAAAGAAGGAGAAGACTTGGAGGGACAAAGCCCAGGATGCCACTTGAACGGATTGCATATAGATCCCAACCCCCTAGACCCTAAACCACGAACCCCAAACCCAAAACCCCAAACTTCAGAAACCTTACAATATAATATCCTTACAGAGCCCGCATAGACCCTCGATTTTATAACCCCAAACTCCTGCAACCTTAAGCCCCCTAGACAGTACGATGAAACCGTCGTACATAGCTGCTTACCAAGGCTGATAAGCGGGCGAACAAGGAGATCATTGAGTATGAAGGCTTCAAGCAGATCCTGACCGCTGCTGGTGTGCACCTGGGCCCATAAATTAGACCTTAACCCTAGCCAACAAAAGGTATCCTATTATATAAATATTATGACTCTGCAGTATCCTGGCCGGCACCCTGAACAAGCACTTCACTCGTAAACCCCTGAGCCCTTAATTAGCAAAAACCCGAGAGCCACAAGCCCGAGGTCGCCCGAAAACCCCTGGGACACACATCCCCGAAACCCTCGTCGTAAGCCCTGGGTCATAAGTCCGAGATCCTGCTGTCTTATGCATTATCAGAAACTCGTCAAGTAGTCAAGGGTTTATAGGGTCGGTACACACTACCTATGCATCATTCCATCAGTACTGTATACGTATATGTGCATCCTGATTTACTGCAGCCTGGGATTGGCAACTTCAAGCTTATCGCTAGGGCTGGCTTATTAGGCAGTCTCTATTAATTGCCGAGTAGAGAAAAAGAACTCTAGAGATCCATAATTATGAGACTCTAAATCCTATACTCTAGGTCTAGAGCCTCGAACCCTAAACCCCAGACCCCAACTCCTATACATACCTTATGATCCCCTAAACCCCAACCTCTACAAACTCCTAAACTCGCGGTCTTATTCGAACCCCAAACCCCAGACCCTACAACCTTAAACTACCAGCATTGTCCCAGGGCCAGCCACATGAAGGCGGCCATCATGGCCGATGTGGACCCCGCGAAGTGCGACCTGGAGAAGGTTAAGACTAAGGTTGCGATTGCCATCGGCCAGAAGCTTCCGGAAGATTCGATGAAGCCTCTTTTCCATGTCACCTGGGTAAATACCAAACTTTGTCGATGCAACACTTTCATACAATATGGATACCACACTGTATGCTGTAAGTAGTTAAGGAGCTCGAAGATGCCCTGAAGAAGTTCAGAACGGCCTCTGAGCCGGTTCGTGCTGCTGAGAGGAAATCCAATGCTGCTGCTAAGCCACCAAAGGCAAAACCCAAGGCAAAGGCGAAGGCAGGAGCAAAGTAGTTTTGCAAATGATCAGACGAAACCGTCGGAACAGATCATACGCACTCGTGGAGGGCACGAACATCCTTCTCATAGGTGCTTGTGTGCATGTAGGGCAGAGGTGTAGGTTGAAAACCGTTTATGGGTCAGGGGCCGGGGCTGCTACACACAGTACAACCAGCTATACCCTGGACCTTGAATTCTTAAGCGCCAGGACTGTTACACTATGCTGTCCTAAACCCTAAGCCCGGGCCTCAAGCAGCTAGCCAAAGAATCCTACCACTAGTGGGGTTGCAGCACTCAAGCTCCGGAGAGGGCGAATCGTGTTGTAGGTCTGAGTGCTTTTAAGGGGACAACGAGGAGCGAGCCTCGTGCAACTGCTGCAGCCGCCGATGCCATAAACAGAAACCTCGGCCGGGCGGAATGCACGTTTGAAGCTTCAATCTAGATCTGCTTGTGGGTGGATTCGTTTGATTATCCGGCCCTCGCCCACCGCAGGGATCGAGCTGGAGTCTGATGGCGATGAAAGTTCTGAGGAGAATGTTGCACTGGCTACTCACATGTGCGATCCCCGGTAATTCCGTAGTTGCTTAGCTTGTCCGGGGTGGCTGGGTGTGTTGACATACTTTGTAGAAGCTTAGGTTCAAGTCGCTGGGCGAAGGTCGGCAGAGTGCCAAAGCCATCGTGGAAAATGCTTATGCGGCTGTCCAGGACCAAAGGGTGGGCCGTAGAATAACGAATAATGCACTTGTGCACAGGCTGATCATCTGTTTCTGAAGTGCATACTGCAAGGAAGCTGGAAACGAGAATGTGAGTCCCGTCACCGCCCGGGTCGCAAAGATGTACAACCACAAGCGGCTGGCGAACTGTGATCGCGATTTGTTTCGCTATTTGAGACTTCCTGTCGTGCCCTGACTAAATATTCCAATCGATCCAATGATTCCTGTCTTACAAGTCATATAGTTCCCTGACCACTTAGGACTTCAACTGGGTTACCGTACCTATCCTCCATCCTGAAGATCCAAAACAAAGGGTCGAGAAGGCTCTGCCGTTTCTGGATCCCCACGAATACATCGAGTACATATGGTCCACGCAGCGAATCTATATCCCTGACGACGAGATCGTGCATCTAGGTCGAAACCTATTTCTTAATCGCCCAAGCCTGTTAGTGAAGCACTCCCTAAATCAATCACAATAGCTTTTAGCATCCCTTGAGGCGGTATTGGAATCACTTCAGATCCCGTGGTGTGGGCTGGGCCGTCCGGCATCCTGCTGACGAGCACTGCATTCCCATCTCTGCACCTCGGACAACAACTATGCACCCTTAGGGGCCCCAGGTCCTTGGAACCCCAACTAACAATATTTCGCATACCCTATAATCCGGAATCCCAAAATCGCAACCCTTAAGGGGCTTTCTATTCAGGTCTATGGGGACGAGGCTCAGTTCACGAAGCAGGGAGATTCGTTTCTCGCACTGATGTTCACTTTCACCCTGCACAAATGCAAAGGCCGGTGTGAATCGGGGTTTAGGACATATTCTTCTCTAAATACGTGGTCTAGCTAGCTGATCGCAGCCCAGCCTTATCGTTACGTCATCCCTGTAAAGGCGAGCCATGGAAGAAGAACTTTACATACTTTGTTGTGAACTCCTTCTACTGTGCTGGCGAGGAGAAATTTGTGACGGTTACTTGACACGGTTTCGACTACTAAGAGGTTGTGGCTTCGGGGATCGCATAATTAATGCTTTGTTAACATTCTCATTTGGAGGAGACATTGAGGCCGATCTACCACAGGGCCGCATGGAGCTTTTCGGTGGCTTTTAGCGGCCGTCGCCCGAAAGCAGGCCCCAGCGGCACAGCTTCGGACTTGAGCAGAAGGCAATTGCAGCTGGCTGAAAGCAAACCCGAACTTTCGGGTCGGTATGCGGTTACCGAATACAAGGGTGATCAAAAGTATATGAGAGAGACTTTTGGCCTACTTCGCAACTGGCAGCGGGGTTTGATCTGTCACCGTTGCAACGCCGGCCGATTGGCAAACCATGGAGTTCTCTACACAAACTTCGGAGCAGACTGGGTCCGCCTTTCCCATACAGATGCACTTCTTCACGTGTTTCCGGCCAGCCCAAACCCCATGATTCTCATCCCGGGGTTCCATGTGGCGATGCTGACTCTTATACTTGCAATTGTAACTGCAAATACCCTAGGGCTCCAGTTACCTGTATAGTAGGTTTCTAACCATATACTATATACCCCAGTAACCTACTATTAAGGTAACTGGAGCCCTAGGGTATTTTGGTCGTTCAACCTAATCCTAATAAGGGGGGCAAGCCCTAAGTAAACAGTGAATTGGTCATATATTTTAATTCCCTGACCTATATCTCAGGCGAGGATGCACAATGCACATTCTCTTCCTTGGAATCCTCCAGAATCTATGTGCGGAGGGGATTTTGTGGCTCATGGAACACAATGTATATTGCGATGGCATCACCGAAGTTGCAGACAAACTTCGCCTTATCTTCAACGAGTTCAAGAGGTATTGCAAAATTCATGGTATCTCCTGCTCCCAAAGAACCTTCACGCCAGCAAACCTTCACTATGCCACCGGCGCCGACAAGCAAACTGACTATCCGTTCCTCTCAGCAAAAGCCTACAATTGTCGAGTGGTGCTGGCCTGGCTTGCAGAGTGTTGGCTGGCATTATGAAGCCACCCTTAAGTATTAATCCCAGGGCAATGCGACACCCCAACCCTTAACCCCGAGGCCCTAGACCGCCACAGCCCTAAACCATACGAGTATCCAGATAATCCGAGAATTCTTAATCTACGAACCCCAGCCCTAAACCCGAAGAAAGTAAACTCTAAATTCCAAAGGATGCAATGACCTCTTCGTCGACGCAAGCTGCTTTGAGGGCCCGACTGCAAAATGAGGATGATCCAGCATACCAGCAGCGGCTACAGCTTACGAGCCTGATATGCAGCACTGTGCATCTGTGCTGATACTATTTTACGAGATTTGAAGTGTTGCCCTGATAAGTTATAGGATCGTGACCCTATATGTATATATGGGCACATATAGCTACATACCATGTAGTCGTAGAAGAAAGCACGTGTACGGACACCCAATGCCTAGGCCTCCAAATCCGAAACTAAACCAGAAGCCCGGAGCCGCAAATTGAATTCGATCAGTAACCCCTGCACCCTGGAGCCCTAAAACCCTTTGCCACAAATCTCCAAACCCCTCAATCCAGTGAGCTAGGCATACGATCGCTGATTGGCAGCTGCTCTCTGAAAAGCTGCCACGTTTTCTGACGACGGTGGAATCCGAAGACCTCTACACCCGTGGTATGCGATTCCTGGTATTGTATCGTGAGTGTGCGAGAAGGTTCCTTGCCGAAGGCCGCTTGAGGTTTTTCCTTCGGCCAAAGATGCACGCCCCTTGCCTGTTTCGGTACCTATGTTGTGTGATTGAATATTTGTTGAATGAAGACCGGGCGGTTGGGTCCATCCATATGCATTCTTAGGCATACGAAGAAACTCTTCTGGACATCCGGTCCGAGGGTGGCTTGCTGCATCCATGAACAGCTTTTGTAGCTTGTTGTTAAATACCTTGATTCCAAAGGCATTTGCTCGACACCATAGGCTTCAAACTGGCCGACTCAGGCTACAATTCGCGATTTCAACATTGCTTCTCGCAGGAAGACAGCCTTGGCTTGCTTAAACCTGTCTGTGTCAAAGCACGTGCCGGTGCTCACTTTGAACATCGTGTGCTAAAG